GTCGCTTATTATAGAAGAATGATTTTAGATTTAATTCCCGTCCACGTGAATGTCGTTAATACTATTAAGTAAAAGCCTACTCTTCTAGGGATATAGTAAATATGATAAACTAATCATACTATGTATAGATTAATGTTTTTCTTACGTTTTATTTAACTTGCAGTCTTGACTCTGTGTTATTTACTCCAACGTTTTATTTAACTTGCAGTCTTGACTCTGTGTTATTTACTCCAAATACATATAAGAGTAAATATGGTTTAATTTAAAGCGATTAGTTTACACTTTTAATATTGATATTACTATTACTATACGTTTGACTCCATATACATTGTCACCTAGAAAGTTTAGGCCCTAGTATATACACATGGTTGGAACCAATTTATTTACATATAGTAACATATTAGTCATAATAATCTATCTAATCTTATATCTTAACTAATACAACGATGATCAGTGGACTACCGTTTAGTTTTCGGCTTTTCACATTTGTGTGATACTAAAGATACCAAGAAACAAACCTAGAACACACTTTGTTTTGCTACTTTGCTTTGATTCTTATGTTACTTCCCCTAATGCCATAGAATTTTATGGATTCTGTCATTTAGTTTTAGTTACTTTATATATATATACAAAATAGCATCAAGAGTGAAGTGAACAAAAGGGTGTGAAGTTTGATTCTTTGCTCTCTTTCGGGTAAAACTAGTATATATGGAATTTCTTAAGCTCGAATACATATAATGTAGGATAAGGCTTAAAAAAGCAAAACTAGAGTACCCTAGGATATATGGATGAAATGCAACCCTCTTTCTAAAGTAATTTTCTACAACAAAATCTAAAAGTAATGTTATTATTTTTTGGAATTTAATCTGCAACCTGCAAGACTCTTTGTTTTTCTCTAATTGTAGCACAAGTTTCTAATTTGGCTAGAATTTGAAATTAGTTTTTTTCCATACAAAACAATTAGTATTATTATTTTTTTTTTATCGAGATGTTTCTTCTTACTTTCGTCTTCAGTATCTTAAAAAATACTATTTAACCCCACCAGAAAAGTTTTGAACTCTCCTCATCTGACTGAAACTATGTATAAAAAATATTAAAACTTCTTCTTAAAATCATGTATAAATTTGAAAATGACATGCTAAACAAATTTAGATTCATCACGAGGTAATGATAGTATGAAATGGTTGTAATCTTAATACTTGTGATATGTTAATCGAGGTATATAAGAGAATATGTTTCTACCAAACCAAAAAAGAATCAAAACTGAAGTGGAAAAAAATGCAGTAAATCATCATTTCGCTTACTGATTTTTTTTTTATGTCAAATATGAATTTTTATGTATTCTCTTCATTACACTCCTTATCCGGAGCTTGTAGTATGTTCCAATAACTAGAAGATTTATTATATGATCACCAATGACGATAAACAATATAAGAATCTCATCAAAAAATTGAATCAACTGAATTAAAAATTAGATTAAAAAACTCTAAAAGCAAAGACATAATCTACACCTAGTTTTGCATTTCATCCATACATAAGCAAGACATAAAATCATCCTAGTCTCTAAAAGCAAAGACAAAAAATTCTCTCGTGCGATGTCGGATAAACAAAGAAGCTCGTTACTTCCTCGATTTGAGCCTATAAAAATCTGTGATTTCTACAAAATCTGTATGCCTCTGATTTTCCTATATCTAATCTTGCTTGTGTGTTCTATATCGTCATGAGGAAGAAGTTCAAAGAAGAGCTCGAAAACAGAGTTTGGGAAGAATCGATTCAGATTCAAGGAGCTGTACTATGCAACCAAGGGGTTTAAGTAGAAAGATCTTCTCGGCTCCGACGAATTCTAGATTGTTATTTTTTTTTGAACCTTGAATTCTAGATTGTTTTTACAGAGGGATTCGCGTTCTCGTCGATGTGCGATGCAGATGATGAAAAGCTTTATGGTTCAACTCCCAAAATTGCTTCAGTCTCATTTGCATTGTGTGTCGAAGAAAAAGAAACACGAGGAATCTTCCTTTGGTATGGTGATCTTTCATTAATTGAGCATTTTCCAGCAAAACCAAAAACAAACATTTGTTTGGTATGGCCTGCAGAGAAAACAGGGGATATGATTGACAGGAAGAGGTTAAAGACAAGGAGCAAAAAGTTTGACATTAAGCATGGATCGTTGATGGTGATGAGGGACTAGATTCATTCTATACCATAGCGCGCAAAGGCAAAGGGAACTCGTAGATCAATCTCACCTTCATCATGTTTGTTTTGTAAACTGAGGCGTCGTCGACAAGGTGGGCTTGATCTTGATCTCTAGTTACATTTGACTAGACTTGTTATCTTAATCCTTCACATGAGATTTTAATATTGATTGGTGGTAGACATTTGAAGGAGCTGATATTAAAATGGATTGAAAAATTGTTGAGAAGTCTTGTGTTGTGGTTTCTAAATTAAGCCATGTCTCTACCTTTATCTTTTTGTGTTTGTGCAGAAACATATCTCTCCACATGCAAAATCTAAAGCTTTTTGCTTGTTGCAATGTCTTTGCCCCTACGTTCGCACTATAGTCCTTCCACGTCTTTCTTCTTCATGTGCCGGAGGAGGAACGCCTGGAGGAAGAGATGTCTCCGGGTTTGAGAATGGTGATAGGTCTAGTGGGAATGGGAAAAGTGAATAAATTGGAGAATATTTTCAAGAACTCATCTTGTAAGAGACTGGTTTAGGTTCTTCAAAAAAGACATCATGACAAGCATAGTCTTGTTTTTTATGTTGGGTACTTTGGCAAGCATAAAGGCAACACTAGTGGTGATGGTTTTAGTTTTATGCAGAATACGATTACACAAAAAGGGAAGAAGATGGCATAAGTTCTATATACATATAGAAGTTGTGACATAAGAAGAAGACTAATAATAATTTCATTTGTAGATTCGAGTATGTCTTTTTATGGATATGCATAATGATTAAAATTTTGTAAATTAGGGGTTGAAAATTTGAAATGATTGGTGATTTGTACAACCAAAAATATTAATTTTCAAATTGGTAAAACTAATTCCAAGTTAAAATTCTTCGAAGTACATGAACTGTTGTATATGCGTACAACCATAATACTAGGGATAACTAAAGGAAAACTTATGATTTCTTACAAAATATCCACTTTTTTATTTAATTAAAGATACATCACGTTTTAATATAGATAAAAAACCGAATTTGAGCATGACGACTATAACTCTCAACATTGAGTTTTGTGTATATTAGTCATAACTTTTAAGAAGATGACATACAACCATCAGACAATTGATCTCAGTTTACACGTGTTTTTAATTAATGAATTCTCAGTTAAGACAATCCCGCAATCTTTAATGGTTTTGAGATCTTTAATTTATCACGGATATGTCAACTATGACAAAGAAGTATGCCGCATAAAAAGTAAGCTCATATACTGACCGGATGACTTAGTTAACATCCATATTAGTTGTCCGTTCTGGTTCAGTAGAATTCATTAAGAGTTGTAGATAGTAAAAGAGCATATGGTCCTGAGCTACATAACAAATGCATTATAGTCTACTCTGTTACTGAAAGCTTGTATCAGTGATGATATAGTATCACGAGGTTTAATGTTTTGAGTTTGGATTTATCATTACTCATTAAGTATTACATGATTTTGGACCTGAAACTACAAACACAAAACAATATAACCAGAACTCAGACTTTACCATTAATCCAAACTGAAGCTGAACCGGTTTGAGTTCGATCAATTTCCTTCATATACATGGAAAATTTGATATCGAATATTTCTCATCAAAGTTAACAGAACCAACCCCTAAACATAGTAGTGGGTTATACATATTACATACGTAAAGAAAATAGTCACAAATTACTAATTAATAAGCTTTGTTCAAAGTGTAACAATTGTAGTTAACTCATTGAAAACATCAGAGAAGTGGAGGTGATCGTCATTTAAACCTATGTTCTCAAGCACCGAATCTGTATCTTTAACAGGTTGAGAATCAGAGAACATACTTGGATCCATGGATGTTAGGCCTGAACCTGCGGCCCAAACGGTCTACGATCCGACGGTCAGCGGCCCGAGAACGATGGAAGCCCAACTCAAACAGTAACCGCGGTCTGGTTAAGCCTCAGTCAGATTCAGTAACTACGGTTAATAAAACCTAGTATGTACCCTCAAACCTTGTACTATAAATAGGAGAATAAATTGATGTGACGAGATATATTCAAGGGACCCAGAGCATAACCGTTCAGATCTCTAACTCCGACAGAGAACTCACCGGAAGGCAATCGCCAACCGTAAACATTTACATTACGTACTAGCTCGCAGCGACCAAGTAGCCCGGGATCTGTCCGGACTATCTGTAGAGGTCTACTCTGTAGTACTCATTTTGGGCTCAACTTCTAATACACGGAACTCTCCGACCTCCTATCTACTATAAATTCATTGTTCGATTTTTAGGTTAAACAATGGAGTCGTCATGAGAATCAGAACTAGTGAGAAAACTAGCAGCAAACTCCTGAAGCTCTTGCGAAAACACCATCGGCTAGTAAGCTTTCAAAACTTATCTTAAGAACCCCATCATAGGACAATAAGCTTTCAGAAGTCGTCCCAAAATCCATGTAATATCATCCAAGTTTTCTGCAGGTAAAGCATTGTCGTTGTCCATAGTGCAGAAATCTTTAGAATAAGGCATGATCTTAGTATCCGTGTTCTGTAAGAAATCATTAGCGATGCAACAAACTGAAGGAGTGGTTAGGGTTTGATCCAAGTATTCTTCTGGTGAAGCGTTGTTGTTGCCCATAATGCAGAAATCTTCAGAGCAAGGCATGATCTGAGTATCCGTGTTCTGTAAGAAATCATCAGAGATGCAACAAACTGAAGGAGTGGTTAGGGTTTGAATTTGATCCGGTTCTTGAGTTCCATGGTGTGAAAAAGATGATTGGTCCTCTTCATCTCGTTTGTTCTTAAGATGATCCTCGGAACGCAATTGCTTGGCCTCTTTCAATAGCTTCGACATGGAATTCGGTCAGTTCTTGGGGATTTTGCGATGTGGTAAAAGCCTCGTCTTCCCACCAAAACCCTAACCCTAGATCCTTGCGAGTTAAACAGATACTCATGTCTTCCCTCATGGGTTTGTTGACCTTTGACTTTGCTCTACCATATTTAATTGTCTTTGATGCTCTGTCTCGAGTGCTGAGTTAGAACACGAGACAAAGATCTCTGTTATTCGTCTCAATAAAGCATAAAGTCGGTCTTTGTCTCTTATTTATTTCTTGAGTCTTAGACCTCTCGTCTTCTCTGGTGATTTCTCACTAATAAGAAACAACTTCTTTCATGTGCCAACAGCTCAATTTTTTGGAACTTGATCGTTTTTTTGTGTGTTTCTCTCTTTCTCTCTCTAGAAAAAAAATCATTCCTTTCTGTGTTCAATTCCCGAATTCATCGTTTTCTTCTCACATTGTCAAAATCAGACAAAACAAAAAGAAATTGTGTGAGAATTTCTTCCATGGGTATCTCAAAAAGACATGATCAAATTCAACGTTGGTGGTCGTCTCTTTGAAACGACGTTAACAAACACAGGTCAAAATTCCTTCTTGGCCACATTATTCGACGACGAATGGAATCTCTCACCGCCGGATTGCTTCACCGTTTTTCTCGATCTCCTCTGCACCAAAGACCTTAACGTACGTCTCTTTTTATGATCTTGCTTGCTTTTTGTAGTCCATCATGAAGAGGAAGAAGAAATTTGAGGATGACTAGGAACATAGCTTGGTGTAGAGTTATTGCTTGCGGAATACGAAACCTAACGAGTGACTTGTTCTTTGCAGAATCGGATTGAGCATAAACGTAAAGAACACAGCGACGTAACGAGTTCTTAGCCACCGACTGGTACTTCTCGTGGGAGCCTCTCCTCCCAAACTCCACTAGAAACAAGGTGAGAGATACACACGCCTTATAACAATGGCGGTTAAGAGATCTAGGGTTTTACAAGAGATTATAGAGACAGAAGCTTAAAGAAAGAAGCT